TTTACGTCGTTTATGATAACAGTGGCTGGGTGACGGTCAGGTGACACCTGTTGCACATGTCGTCACTTATCGGCCAGGAGTTAATTCCCATAGACTTAACCCCGCTTCATGCTGTTAGCTTTCATATTTAGTTTCATAATTGCCGTGATATTTCTGGGGATTAATAGTGGAGTGGTTTCCTATTGTCTTATTCACGGTTGTTTGTTCAGACACCGGCTCTAATTAGCTGGCCATTGATTCATCGAGAGTAGGTCCTATTTTTCATCCTACTGCGTTGCTAACAACTCGCCTCAAACATGGGTTTAATCGCCAACACTTCGACGGTGGCATACATAATTAGATATTTTCTGCTTATACGTTATTTTAATAGATAAAATTTGTTTAAGTAAATAATTACCCAATATATATATATATATATATATATATATATATATATATATATATGTATGTATGTATGTATGTATTTCTTTTTAAAAAAAAATTATGATTCCAATGCGACACAGAAATTTCTGTTTCAAAACTGAAACTAAAATTTTAAATTTAATTATAAATTTTAAACTTAAATCCAGAGTTTCGTTCCATTGTCTAGCATCGCTTCAAAATGGAAATTTCTGTGTCGCGATAGAATCATATTGTTAAAAAAGAAAATAATTATAATATTATGCTCTACTGTTTGTATTGAGCACTGATTTAAAAAAAATAAAATTCTTTCTTATTATTTTAATATATATATAGGAGGCACGGTGGAGTAATGGATAGCGGCTTGGATTGAGGAATCGCAGAGCCGAGTTCGAATTCCAGGCGAATCCATTACATTCACTTACGTGCTTGGGAAAGGTATGAATCCTCTTCCTCTCCCTCCAGCTATGGGTAAAATAGCAGGACAAACAGGGTTCTATAGCCTTGGATGGCAACTAGTCTAGGACAAGTACAACTCTGAATTCAAAACCTGCGGGAACCCTGTGGCATTTGGTGCACCAGGTCTCTGTATTCGTCCCTTCAAAAAGTGTAGATGGTCCTGCACGAGGGCCTTCACCACTATAATCAAATCTCATGTGCCGGTGTCGGGCTGTCGGTTTCCTGGAAACTGATCTGCTTGACCCTCATACGTCGAATCTCGACGGGAGAGTCGATTATTATTATTTATATATATATATATATATATATTAAAATTATATATATGTGTGTGTGTGTTTTGTGTGCCCCGCATGAACATGTATATGTACATTTACGCCGGGAAAAAAAAAAAAAAAAAAGTGTTTATGGATCGGGTTTAATAAAGTAAAGTCGGGAAGGGGAGGAGAATGAAAGTATTATTAAGTTTTTAACTAAAATCCAAATAATCACTTTTTGTAACTGCGTTCTAATATTCCCTAGTCAGTCTCCGCCCAAAACATCATTAAATGTTGCGACCCCAATCTATTAAAATTACGGTTATAAATACGTTATCAGTACAGATGTCTGCATAGATATTTGTAATAACAAATATTAAAACTGATCTGCAGGGAGCTCATTGTATTTATTATAACAAAGCATCTATATTTTTTACAGCAAAAACCAGAATTACCTCAAAATGAGTATAGTCTATTTCAATTTGATCTGAACTTAGCCGTCTTCAGCTCTTAAGCTTGTTTGAACCTGGCCGTCTCCAGCTCTTAAGAAACACTTAAGAGCTGAAGACAGCTAGGTTCAGACCAGCTTGAAATAGACTATACTCATGTTGAGGTAATTTTTTTTTTTTCGAATATATATATATATATATATATATATATATATATATATATATATATATATATATATATATATTGAAACAAAGGTAAGATGACATAGGAAAGAATCAGAAAGATTAAAAAATTCAAATACGTACATTTGAAGACCGGGGTCTTTGTATGATGAATTTGACCAAAACTAAAGAATTCTAAGATGTGGAAACCGACACTGGGTTTAAATTCTCTCTCCTGGTCAACAACACAATACCTCGGGGTGAGGAGCAACTCGGTGGTTTCTTCCTTTTCTATTTTTTTCTTTTTGATGCTTTTACTTTTCACAATTTTTTTTTTTATTTTGTAAAAAAAGGTAAAAAGAAAAATTCACACTCCTTATATCCGCGTTCTTATATTCCCTCTATGTACAAAGTTTTAAATAGAAATAAACATGCACAAAATATCATCAAGGTAAGTAGCTGTGCTAGAACTGGAACTAACCTCATCAACAATCAGTTCTTCATTTCAATTATCAATGAGTACTACATAATATTGACACTGCGCTGGATAAAGCTTGGTGAATATCGACAGGTAAAAGCGATATTTGGGAAACTAGTGTTACCAATCCTCACTCTACAGTAAATTTGATTCCTACTTCATGCTCCATTAGTGAGTCTTTACTGAGACCTTGTGCCACACTAGATAAAGCTTGGTGAATAGCTAAAGGATACTAACCTAAAATGTTTATTTAAATAATGCAACTAATCATGACTTGTGCAGTGATTTCGATCTTCATATGATGCTTTATTATTATGGCCTTGTACCAGACTAATTGTGATCTTTTTTCGGTCGTACATAAAACTCTCAACCGAATTCTAGGAACTCGCACGACCTGATAAACAAAAGCAGCCATTTTGTTTAGACGTCGACATAAACTTATACACACGAATACATTCGCTTTGATAAAAGCCGGTTTATTTATTTATATATACAAAGCGCAGACAAAGAGTCAAACCAGGCCACACGCACGCAAACACCCTCAAAAACACGCAGCACACATACATACATACATACATATTCATCTAAGTGATAGGTACACTTACAACACTCTCGCTTATATATATATATATATATATATATATATATATATATATATATATATATATATATATATATGGTCTGTACATCGGATAAACAAATGTGTGGGCTGCATTTGTTTATAGCTGTCATTATCTTACACTTACGAGTACCACTCATCGCCATAAACAGTGTATTTACACACACACACACACACACACATATATATATATAAATATATATATGTGTGTGTGTATGTCTGTGTGTTCTTGTCTATAAAGATGTGGAGTGGGCCAAACGGCTAACAACAGGAAAAAATTTTGATCTCAGATAATATTTTGTATGTGTGTTTGTCATTGCAATAAGCGTTATATTTAATGAACCCGCGTGTTTGAGTAGATAGATACCCCTGTTTTTTTTTTTTTTTAAAAAGTAAACTCAATGTCTACTTGTCCAGAAATGGGAAGTAATTTTAAAGAAAATGTCCATCCCGGCAGGAATGTAATCTGAGATGTCATTTTCAGACCGGGCGGGTTTTTACCATTAAGCTACAAGAAGCAACTTGTAAAAAAAAAAAAAAAAAGAAAAAGCGGTTGAATTATCCTATACGTATGTGTATGTGTGTATGTATAGAGTACGTTGTGTAAATTGTCGCCATTTTATATTTTTAAATTCGTGTTTTATGTTTTTGATTTTGTCCTCTGAACGGTATAATAGGGTCAGTTGGCCACCGTCTTTGAGAAAAAGAGCACCATGACGCAATTCACTCCGCCAGAAAGTCGGAAACAGCATGCTGTGCTGCTTGACATTCGCGCCGAAAGCTCCAATACGATCATTTCAGAGTGTTTGAGTGTTAATCTGAGGACAGTGCAGGAGATTCTGAAAAAGTTGGATAATATATCCAGTTAACACCCTGGTATTTGGAGTGATCACTAGTTATGGAAACGTTATGCTTCCATATTTTTCCCACAGACACTCAACACAGAGGCCTACATCAAGTGCCTTGAGAAGGTATTATTGTCCGGGGTCAAGAAGTTGGCTGCTGGATGATCCTATGTCTGGTAACAGGACTCTGCACCATGCCACACAAGCAGAAGAACCTGTCAGCACAGACAATTTCTGCGAACACATCACCCCTTACATCTAGCTACCTAACTCCCCAGACTGCAACCCCTTGATTGTTATATTTGGGACGCTGTTGAGTGAGAAACCAACAAAACTCCTTGTAACACCAAAGATGAACTAAAGGCAAGGATTATGGCAGCATTAAACGACTTAAACAAGGAGATCACCCGGAAGGGTTGCAGGAGATTCCGAAGCCGTCTGGATGCCGTAGTTGAAGCCAATGACGATTTTATTGAATAAATTTACTCTACAGTATTTCAAGATATATTTGTGTAACTTTGGTAAATATATACCTGTTAAAATGATATGTCGGTGTTATTTTCATTCCTGCGTAATTTAGACGGCAATTTATCAATCGTACCCTGTATGCGTATAAGCGTGTGCGTATGTGTTCAAACATTAAGATTACAAATGTTGAATTCCAAAGTAGATAAGCGCTCCTCACTTACCGAAAATGACTTGTGCAACACAATACTCATGGCGCCACACCTCCTCTCACACCTAGCTACCTCTTTATCGTACTATAATAAACCTGCTGAAACATCAATATTTAATAAATGCTGCTGAAATAAATAGGAACCCAATTTTCTCATTTTAATTACATGGTAACATTTACCCTTTTATCAATATGAATGATCACTTAAATAATTTTTAACAGTTCATATATATATATATATATATATGTGTGTGTGTGTGTGTGTGTGTGTGTGTGTGAGAGAGAGAGAGAGATTAGTTAAATTTTAAGCAGAGCAGAATCTCATAAAAGAGAAGCAATTATTTTTTGTCCTGACCTTATTCAATGTATAATCAGTTTCAAATTCTTAATCATGCTAGCAAAAAGGTGGGAAAATTATTGAGTCGGCTTCCCAAAATATCGATCTTTACTTACTGGTTCTCTCTCTCTCTCTAGCTCTCTCTCTCTCTCTCTCTAGCTCTCTCTTTCTCTCGCTCATATGTTTTATTTGTTTGGTAAAATTTCGATTTTTTCTCGTTTTAATCCTTTTAGAGAATAATCAAAAAAATTCATTGAAACATTTCCTTGGAAGAGAAGAGACAAAATATGTTTTTAAATGTGGTGTCTTGAATTTAAAATTTTTATTGACATGCAAGGACAAACTTGTTTGTTACGATTTTTAAAGATAGATAGATAGATAGATAGATAGATAGATAGATAGATAGATAGATAGATAGATAGATAGATAGATAGGAAAGGAATACAGTAGATAGATAGATAGATAGATAGATAGATAGATAGATAGATAGATAGAAAATTACCTGAATCAGAGAGATAGACACATAGAGAAACGAATAGACGAACGAACAGAGATCAGCACAAAAATAACGACACACAAAAACATCATTTATATGAAAGATTGCGGTTTGTCCTCAACCTGACCAAGAAGGGATTCAAAAATAAACTCTGGCGATTGTTCAATTGGTCACATTTGAGGAAGTTGGTCAGACTGAGAACTTTTAGTCCCGCCTTTTGAGCATATTTTTAAGTAATCTTGTGAATTCCGTATATTAATGTATTACAGAATTTTCCTTATACATCTACAATGACATTTCTCTTTTTATCAGTTGGTGTTGATCGAGTAAGTTTGAGCATCTATCTATCTATCTATATATCTATCTATCTATCTATCTATCTATCTATCTATCTAATTTAAACATGTTCGTGGGTAAACATTTATAATCATTTAAAAGGATGACAAAATAAGGTAGAAAAATTGTGTCGCTATTCTTCTGTCTACATGGTGAGATTGCCCCGCCTATCTATCTATCTATCTATCTATCTATCTATCTCTCTCTCTCTCTCTCTCTCTCTCTATATATATATATATATATATATATATATATATATATGTGTGTGTGTGTGTGTGTGTATCTATATATAATCGTGTAATTATATAAGGAACATCCGTTTTCCATTATTTATATACGTCGATGATAACGTCTACATAATATATTGCATCACCACACATAGAAGCAACACACACACACACACACACACACACACACATATATATATATATATATATATTGAGCGTGTGTGTGTATGTGTGTGCACAAAAGCATATATCCAAGCAAGCAGATAAGCAAATTGGTTGACTGTGTTTATGCTACGATACAAACTTATCAACTCCTCCCAATAAAGTTTGTCCGACCAAACGAACAATTGCGACGTCCTCCCGTGTCTTCAGCCCGCCTCATGGCGTTGCTGTTGGCAACGTATACTGGAAAGCACTACGTCAGAGTAAGAGTGAGAGTGAGAGTATACTTAATGTGAGGGAAGAGTAGTGGACAGCATCGGGTGGGGATGAAGCGACAGTAACGCAGCAAAATAATCCAAACAAATCTTTGTTTATTTATCGCTGTTTTTACGTCTACGAAACACTGGATGTATGAGCCTCAGCATTCTCGTTCTACCTAACAACAACGGTAAGTAAGCGAGTCAGAAATAATAATAATAATAAGAAGAAGAAGAAGAAGAAAAAGAAGAAGAAGAAGAAGAAGTTCGAGAATTCACCATCGTCAGTCGTCGAGAATGAGCAAGTGAAGCTCATGTAGGATCCGACTATCTTGACTGACAAGCGCTTGGAAAACAATCGCCCTGATATCACACTTTTGCACAAGAGCAGTCATGAATCCTGATAGACGTTACGGTAACTTAGGATAAGGATATCGTAAAGGCAGCACATGTGGATATACAGAGTCACCAAGAACTGACTGGACAAATCAGAGAAATGTACCAAGCAGAAGCTCAAGTTGTCCTTTTTGTGGTTGGCGCACCCTGATCTATTTCCTGGAATCTTTCTGCTGCGCATGATGCCATGGGGATACCTAACATCAATGGGAGTGCGCAGCTGGCAGCACTTCTTGGAATAATTCATTTGTTGAAGAAAGCGTTGTGTCTCTAAGCTTCGTGAAAACGCTTAGTCATCATCATTCGGCTGAAATATCTAAGATGTCAAATCAAATAATGCTGCATTTTATCAAAACCTCTCACCATATCACATACATATGGCTGTGATGCATCTGCCTGGTATATCCTGAACAGAGGGAGTGTCATGATAGGTATATTAGGCTTCGTATATTTATACGCCAGCCTCACTTTCTTTGTGTGTTTCTTCCTCAGTCAATCATAATATCAAAAGGATCAAGCTAATATGCGAAACAGATTCCTAGGAGCCGTAAAATTTATAAATTCTTAAAGAAATCAAACTCACGAGTACTTTTCACATCATGTATAGATTTCTTTCTGTGAAGTGACCATATTTTTCTGTTTCCATCTTCTGGTACAAAAATTTCTCTTGAAGTTTATAATTGAGACTTGAGGTAACTCGTACTACACAATGCAAAGGCAAATAATAATAATAATGATAATTGATCATCTTGTATCAGGTTTCACGATATTGGCACCCACTGATTATGAAACCCGGCATGACAAAGTGGGCCAATATTTGCACTGGAAAATATGCAACGTCTACGAGAAGGAAACTGAAAGAAACTGGTATGAACACCACCCAGACCCGGTTACGGAGATAGGACCTGTTACAATTCTATGGGACTACACAATACACACTGACAGAACAATCAAAGCCAACCGCCCAGACATTGTTATTAGAGACCACAAACAAAAAAAGTCACTCCTTATTGATATGGCAGTCCCTGCTGACTGCAATGTATCTTTGAAGATATTCAAAAAGTTGTCAAAGTACAATGACCTTGAAATAGAAATCTCAAAAATGTGGCACATGGGAACATCAACAATCCCTGTTGTAGTTGGAGCCCTAGGATTAGTTGGGAAAGATTCCAGTAGACTAACTGAAGAAATTCCAGGAAGTCCATGCCTCAAAAAGATACAAAAAATTGTTCTGACAAATACAGCCCACACTTTACGAAGGGCTTTATCTATGTAGTATTTTTTTGTCAGTGGAAAGTGTCATGATGCCATTTTTAACCTTAGGTCCTTGGACGGGACCCGGAAAGAAATATGTAAACGCCAGAAATCAAATAATCAAAAATCAATAATAATAATAATAATAATAATAATAATAATAAATGCTTGATGCTACATCAGTATGTCCTGTAATGTCTTCTGATCCTAAATGATTGGAGGTGTTCACCCGTACATCTGTCTTGGTGAAATCATATTAGCTACAATAAATATCCCATTCTGAAACACAGATTTGCTTGTCAGTTGACTGACCTTAACATGTTGGGCATCTCTCCTATATGTTGAAGCACTGTGAATCTCATATGCAAGGGTAGTAGGGTAGCGTCAGGACTGGATGTTGAGAGAGTTTCTTTTTAAGTTTAATGGATAAGAGAGCCAAGGAAACTTTGATAACACATCTAGATACTGGGGAACACTAGAAATCAGAGAACGTCTGGGCAGCCAGGGCTATCCGCCCTGAAGATATTTCTATGTTTCATCTACAAGTTTCTGTGTTGCGTTTATCAAACTAGATACTTTTATACATTTGGCTGTTATGCAAGTTCCTGGTATAGTCTTATCCGACTTGGTATCATGAAGAATATATTGGGTTTCGTATATTTGTAACACAGCATCAATTTGTTGGCATTCTGCTCAATCAATCAATTACTGAATCAATCAATCAATCAATAATAATAATAATAATAATTTTGATTCAAGGATAGCGCCAAAAGAAGAATGGAAAATAACCAACGATAGCAGACTGAAATTTGAACTTACGAGGGTTAGGTAGTTTGAAGAAAGTTATTACCATACCGGTTGTTATTTCACTTGGTATAGTAACTGAAGGAATGGAAACATGGATAAAGAAAGTACTACAGAAAGGAAGCCTCTAAGGAACAGAAAGAATAATCCGGGAAGTGATTAAAGTCAGAAGAAATTTGCATGATACTTTAGGCGTTTGGTTGTGGCCTGCTACTCATGCGTGCACTATCTTAGGAAATACCAAAATAATAATAATAGTAATAATAATGATAATAATGATAAATGAATGAGTTCAAATAGTGGACAGTAATGGAAAATATGAACATTTGACACGACTTCGTCAAACCTTTCAGATTATGCAAAAGAATAAAAATAAGAAGAATTAGGATTTTAGATTAAAAATGCGACACAAGCTAAAACAAATTAGTTTAGTTCATAAGTAAAGAAAAAACAAGAAAGGTACTACCACTACTACTACTACTGCTACTACTACTGATAATAATAATAAAGCGGAAACTGAAGGTTTTATCCTTGCTGCGCAGGACCAATGCTTGCTAACTAGGAATTATCAAGCACATATACTAAAATATTGTGTCAGCCCAAAATGCAGATTCTGTGATAAGTATCCAGAAACGATTGATCACCTTGTATCAGGTTGCACGGTGTTGGCACCCACTAAATATAAAACCCGACATGACAGAGTGGGCCAATATCTGCATTGGAAAATCTGCAACTTCTACGGGAAGGAAACTGAAAGAAACTGGTATGAACACCACCCAGACCCGGTTACGGAGATAGGACCTGTTACAATTCTGTGGGACTACACAATACACACTGACAGAACAATCAAGGCCAATCGACCAGATATTGTTATTAAAGACCACAAACGAAAACGGTGCCTCCTTATTGACATGGCAGTCCCTGCTGACTGCAATGTATCTTTGAAGATATTCAAAAAGTTGTCAAAATACAAGGACCTTGAAATAGAAATCTCGAAAATGTGGCATATGGGAACATCAACAATCCCTGTTGTAGTTGGAGCCCTAGGACTGGTTGGAAAAGATTGCAGTAGACTAATTGAAGGGATTCCTGGAAGTCCATGCCTCAAGGAGATACAAAAAATTGTTCTGACAAGTACAGCCCACACCTTACGAAGGGCTTTATCTATGTAATTTATTTTTTTATTTATTTATTTTTTTTTTTGTCAGTGGAAAGTGTCATGACGCCATTTCTAACCTTAGGTCCCTGGGCGGAACCCGGAAAGAAATGTGTAAACGCCAGAAATCAAAGAAAATAAAAAAAATAATAATAATAATAATAATAATAATAGAGGAGCAATGTTGGTCAAATAGAGTAGCATAATAGACACGAAGAGGTAGAAATTGTGCAAGTAACTCGAATTTAGTCATTTAAAATAAATGGTATATATGTCGTGACTATCTTCACTATTCAAAGGCTCAGTGAAGAATGGCAATTTTACTTGTGTTTCACGATAAGAGTCGAGAAGTTACCTTTCAAACAGAAAATATTATTTGGCAGCGACGTCATACAAAATATATTTGCTGTCCAATTAAAATGCACCAAGAAAGTCCTAGTTTTCGTCCTCTTTCCCTGGAGTTTATCCAGGTCTTTATAAACAGTCACGCAAGTAGGTAAAGTTAGTGCGTTTACCAAGGTGTTACCAAAGCTGATTGCACTATTATATCTCCACTAAAATACCCTAATACTATGAATATAATAACTCGCTCAAAACAACATTTATCTTAGAGTTGGTCATCAACGCTATAAATAAACAAACAGAAGCTGATTTCAATCTTTATAACTATGTGGACTTACCCTATTACTACAAGCTATATTTTAATATTATCTATAAAAGTAATATAGAAATGCAACTAAGAACTTTATTGTCCCTAATGAACATGTAGATAGCGTACTGGTTATCGGGGCGAAAAGTGGGACCGGCGAGCTGAGTTCAAATTCCAGTCGGACCAGCTACGTTCACTTTCCCACAAATGCCCTTAAGAAATGTAGCCATGGATCAAACAGAAGAATAGATTGCCTTAAGGTGGCAACCAGTCTAAGAGAAGGAAAACTGAGATTTCTAAACCGTGCAGGAGATAACGGAAAACTCTCCACTATCTTTCCCAAGAAAGTATAGTAATTGAGAGATATTACTGAAAAAAAAGAATTTGTGGAAATGCATTGTTGCCTACACACTAAAGGGACATGGGATTTTAAAAAAAAAATGCATTATGAACACACTCAGCTTAACAAAAATTGCAATTCAAGTATGTATCCCGTTAAACTGCAAATTTCAGTGTCCATATAGTAACATTTTCTGTCGTTAGAATCTAACCAAATGACCAAAAAAACAGATTTTTTTCAAATTCTATCTTGATCGAGCCCAGGAACTTTTCAGCACCTTTTCGTATCTTTTGACTGTCGCAAATCATATCCCTACCTTAATAAGTCTAAAGATTAATATCTGTTGACCCATAATACTACAAGAAAAAGGGAATTTATATTAAGTGTGCCACCAACCTATCATGCATATTGGTTCGACAGTATACAATTGAAACATCTCACTAGATCAGCAATGACCTTAGTATTTTTTTTTATATCAAACACCAGTCAAGTTATAAAAACATTGTCAAGTGCTGCACAAAGCAGAAGCTCTCAGAGAGAATAAAAAAATCTTGCGGAATTGTAAAGTCATCGAAAGGAGTCATGTATGTATGTGATCAACCTGAAATTATATAGACTCAATAGAAAACTTTTGTAAAGTCAGAATCTAAATCCAGATCCTTGGAATATTGGAATCGTTATGTACAGACGAAAACAGGAAGTAGCAGAAGGAATTCGACGATCGATGAAATTATCAGAATACTGAGCAGGAAAGAATACTGAAAGTGGATTATATTAAACAGAACGAATGAAATAAAAAGAAAATAATTTTTCAGAAGAAGAAGAAATAATTTGAAAACTATTCTCAATAGCAACAACCCATCCTAAACTGGACAAGTGAACTAAGGAATGTGAATCAAGGAATGAAAAAAAAAGGTCATCAGCCATATAAGAAAGACGTGGGTGGTATAAGAAAGGCTCACTGTCACGAGGGATTATGTCAATTCAGCTAACAAAGATCATGAAAAGACAATCTAGAACGGTGAAGGATTAATTATGATAGTCACGAGTTTAAGTAAAACTGACGGTATAATAAATACGGAATTTTTACCTTGTTTTAACTAATTATTTTAAATATGTCTATGTTATATAACATTATTAAATGTAACGCAACCAAAATTGTCAAGTATAAGATTAAAACTCTCCAAAACGAGAAGCTAAAAATGGAAAGAAAAACACCTTGGATATTTCATGGACAAAAGAAATGACTAATATGATTGCACAGAGGACATATGAAAAAATAAATCAAGCTCCTTTAAAAGTCTTCATACAAGAAACTATAATTAAGTTTAAAACAAATAGGACACAGCAAATTCGTAAATGTCACTTGCGTGGAAACTGAGATGAAATCATCAATCATATAAAAGTTAATGTTGTAAATTAATTCAGTATGAGTAAAAAATAAACTTGACAAGGTAGGAAAACTGATCTACTGTGAAGTGCGCGAACGAACCTTGTTTGACCATAAAAACAACTGTCATATCCACAGTCCAGATGCTGTACTATAGAATAAATAACTTCCTCTGGGAATTTAAAATTCAAACAAAGCACTCAATCAGAGCCAACATACCGGAACCAGTCATCACAAACAAAGAGAAAACTTTTTAAATTGTGAATAGTACCCTTCCAGTAAAGTTACAAGTTTAAAAGTTTGAAAAATATTAAAACCTTGCCAGAGAATAATTGTAGAATCACAGTTGACAATATGAAGAGACATATCCTGAAGAGACATGTGAAGGATATGAAATTTGATGTAAAACAGAAATCATCCCGATGACGATATTATTAAAATCAACAAAAAAATTGTAGAGTACTAGTGTACTGAGGAAATAGTTTTGTCACATGAACAACACTGAACGGCAGCAGACACTACTGAAAGTTTAATGAGTTGAAATAATAATATTAATATTATTAGAGGAAATAAACATTTGATAAAATAACTGTGATTTTCCAGATCGCAGCAGTGCCAGCATCTACAAAGTTAAGACTTGCTGTCATTAAATCCATGATGATAACTATGAAATATCTGATATATCTACACACGCTCTATCTCTGATATTGAGGACTTTATCCCATAAATATATCACACTTTAAAAACATTTCTTCATTTCTTCATATATATATATATATATATATATATATATATATATATATATATATATATATATATATATATATATATATATATATATATATATAAATATAATGCAAATATAATGTATATATTGGATGTAGAGAGTTGTCGGGACCGGAGAAGAAGTCTCTTATATCCGGGTTTCTATATCCTGGTTTGGTCTATTTTGTTTAGGTAAGTATGGCTCTAATTTGGGACCAGATAAAATCTCTCTTATATCCGGGTTTCTCTTATATCCGGGTCTCTTATATCCGGGTTACACTGTATATATTTATATATACGGGGATGAAGAAATATCGTGTGTATGTGTGTATATAGATAGATAGATAGATAGATAGATAGATAGATAGATAGATAGATAGATAGATAAACCAAGAGTTCAGCCAAGCAAAAACACGAATGACAACCTATAAGATACGACACCTTGTGTTTCAGCTCTTCTTTTCCCGCCATATTTCCTTCATCATTTGTAATATTTCTCAAGGGAAGGTGAATAAACAAGATACAGTAAAACTAGTGAGAAAGAAAAATTAGAAAATGGCGATTGGTAACGTCTTTTCGAGGACGCATTAAATTGCTTGAGCCAAAATAGAAATTTGAGACATTGATTAATTTTGTCGATTATCTGTCCCATATGTCAACCGAAGAGAATTTACAACGTGATTTTTCTGGCGGCTCTTTTTGATTTTTTTTTTTTTTTAAGATTAAATCGACGGAAAGAGAAAGGCGCTCGTATAACTTTTCGACATTGACATATATACCTGAGAAAGAGGGCGAGAGAGAGAGGGGGGGAGAGAGGAAAGAGAGAAAGAGAAATAGATAGATATATAGAGAGATTTTACAAACGATCTGTTTTCGGATTTAAGTAAGAAGCTAAACCTTTCTCACTGGAAGAATGGATTAACAAAATCTTCTTCGACACATATCTATTCATTTCATTTTGTTTTCTGTTAACCTTAATTAATAAACGTACTTTGGAAAAGTTCTCCTGAGTTTAGGGAAGTTTTCTTTTTAATCTTTGAGATATTTTGGCCTATCCTAAGTATACGAGAGTGGAATACATCGGTGTAAATAGTACACCGGCATGAGAATCAAAGGGTCAAAGATATTTTATGGGATCTCAGACAGCGTTTGCATATATTGAAGATTTACCACTTCTTTTCTGTGTTCGGTTTACAAATCAAAAATATAAAAACATAGTGCAGCGTTTCTCAACCGATGTGCCAGGGGTCACTGATGCGCCCTGAAATGTAGCCAGGTGCACCTCAAGTTAACAGAAGAGCAATTTATTAATTATTTTTATATTTAAAAACCTTTATTTATTAAAAAAAAAAAAAGAGAGAGAGAGACACCAAGCACATGGCTTCCATGTTTTCTTTGATAATGAAACTTTTCCTCATTGCTTTCCTCAAGGCACAACATGCAAGGCCTATCATTCAAAAAGTTACCAAGACATTTCAAGCCCAGTTTTCACATAAGCATAATTAAATATACAATGTAATGTCTTAAAAAGAAAAGTTTATTTCAGAGGACTTCCATTTTATTTACCTATTTTCATTTTTCATGACCAATTTTTTCATTAATAAAATTTAAAGGGCGTCCCAGGGTTTTAGTTATTCTACAAGAGTACCCTGAAGTAAAATAAAAAAAAGGTCGAGAAACATTACGATAGGAAGATTATTGAAGAATGGATGGGGACTCAATATAAACTTTGTACCCGTCCATGCTGATAAATTTACTCTCAGTATCCCTCTAATCAACATTATATCTTGAGAAAATTCGAAATTTAAAATGACATTAATAATAATAAGTAAACTATGCGATTTTTCCATTTTATTAATGAAAAGTACCTTATCTTTGGTCAGTGGCACCTTAGTCACCTTCAAAGTACTCTCCTTAAGACTTCCTAGAACAGCATCCTTTTCATTTTCAAAATAGTCTGTAAAGTTATCTTTAGAGATTGCTTCATCACATTCTCCTTAATCACGTCCATAATCTTAATTTCAACGGCAAGTTTAACTTCAGGAAAAGCCAAAAGTAATAAGAAACTACACCTAGACTGTCAGGGGATTGGCAAATAATTGAGATGTGATGCTTCGAAAAGAAAAAACAAATTTCATGAGACTGTATAATTCTAGTCTTTCATTAACTGTGAAAGCAACAGTCAAAGAATACACAAGTCAATTCTGTTGTGCCTCACTATGAAATGAGTAACCTCGTAATATAGAGTCGGATCCTGCATGGGCAGTAAAGTTATCGTTTAAATTTAGCCAAGTTGCTTCAAGAACGCACAATCAGGTTTAGAGCTATTCAAAATGGTTAGATATTTTCCGGATATACAGTTTCACCAGAAAAACAGTTTGTTAAAGCACTAGTTCTTATTTAAAATATAATTAAATACTATTAAAATTAAGAATGTTTCATTTCGCTAAAGAAAAAAATGTTTATGTTTAAATGAGAATTAATTTAAGCGTTTAAAATGTTCAAGAAAAAAATAAAGATAAAATGTATAGATATCTTTGTGTATATATTTTATTTTCAGCTTAATAAATCATATAATAAAAAGAGACCCGTTAATTAATGTCTCTTAAAATATTTATTGTTTATTATTTTTCTTTTAAAATTAGTGAGAACTTACAATGCCATCTGTATATATTTTGGAATGCTGTATATATATATATATATATATATATATATATATATATATATATATATATATATATATATATAGTCTGTTTCATGCTAGATGCAATCATCAGGTCTGACGATTGCATCTAGCATGAAAACAGACTGTCCTTTAAGTATTGACTTCTATGTTCACTTTTATATTTACACACGCTCTATCTCTGATATTGAGAACTTTATCCCATAAATATAGCACATCTTAAGACTATGTTTCTGTATATATAGATATATATATAACGTTTACTGATCAGAGTTAACTTAGAACAGGAAACAGTTGTGTTAAAAAGTGCTCAATACACATATAAAGAAAATAAAAATTTAACAAGCAGAGATTTTAAATTTCAAAAATTAGGAAATCAGCTGATTACGCTACTCTTTTGTCAACCTTTTGGTATCCTCAGCCGATATAGGCCAAATATATATCGCCTGAGAATACCAAAAGGTTGAAACCAATGTAGCGTGATTATAATTGATATATATATATATATATATATATATATATATATATATATATATTTCTAAAGTATTAGTGGATTTATATTTAATTCGATATTTATATTACTTCAAACGCAATTATTGTGTGAGATTTGAAATATTTGAAATACACGGCTCATTTAATTATCAGACGCAATACACACTATTTCAAATACAAAGTGTCCACTCTAATAAAGTTAGTAATATATATATATATATATATATATATATATATATATATATATATATATATATATATATTAAGAAATGGACAAAGTCCGACAATTTATTTATTAAAGACATTTTTTATGTTTAACGTTCTTTTTATAGATACAAGTATTTAAGTAAATGCTCTATCGTAAATGTTATTTAATACTGTTTATTATAAACAGAGCATTTACTTAAATACTTGTATCTATAAAAAGAACATTAAACATAAAAAATGTCTTTAATAAATATATATATATATATATATATATATATATATATATATATAGTAGACACTTCGTATTTGAAATGGACACCCTATTTTATTTTTAATAATCATGTATTACGTGTATGTAGCTGCGCATTCTTGTAATCTTAATAAAGAAAATGTGCTCCCCGGCAGTGATCGAACCTTTGTCTCGCATTGTAGAAGAAACCAGCGTTTGATCCGGCGTGTATTCCCACAGGCTGCGAAGAGCATCACATTTCAGCCAGGCTCCATTTTTCCTTTTTTGAAAAGCTACTTTCTCGTTCAGAAATTTTCTAACGGAAGCCCATACCTGCTCAGTTTCATATCTGAAAGCAATTTCTAAAGTATTAATGGATCATTAATCTGACATATTTATTATTTCAAACGTTATTATAGTGGGTGCTTTTAACTGAAATGGAGGTCCCATTATATATATATATATATATATATATATATATATATATATATATATATATATATATAAAAATGAATATTAATTCAACACTCTGAGGCGACAGACTGTTTTCATGCTAGACGCAATCGTCGACTTGACGATTGCGTCTAGCATGAAACAGCCTGTCGCCTTTGAGTGTTGAATTCAATATTCACTTTTATTTACTCTCTATCTCTGATATTGAGCACTTTTCCCAAAAATGTAGCACACCTTAAAACTATATATATATATATATATATATATATATATATATATATATATATATATATGCGTAAAAAAAAATATATATATATATATATATGTGGGTATTGCTCCAAAATCAGCATACCATGATGAAAATATGCTTCAAACGTAATGAAAACAGTTTTATCGTCAAAATCATTATGTTATTGTTAAGAGGAAGGATCAAGGTATCTTTTGAATATTTAATGAAATTTTTACTTTTGAAAGTTTTGATTATAATCTTGTTTTTTCTTGTGTCAGCGGTTATACTAAGTTTTAACCTCTTTTTTTTTTCAATGACAAACACATTAATTTGGAAATTCTTGCAAAAATCAAAAACAATTCACAAAACTTATTCACAAATGAATGAAATTATTTTTTTAAATTTTTGTCAGAAACTCTTAGTAAAAATATTTTTTTTCGTGTTTCACTCCCTTACTTAATTTTATGAAAACTTGAGAAGTTCACCTTGATAATTTATAGTGATTATATTAGTTAAAAGCAGAATTGTTCGAAGAATTTAAATTTAAATTTCTTTTTTTTTTTTTTTTTTTTTTTTTTGTGAAATCTGACCCCGACTTACCGAAAATCAGCTCTGGATCGAAAAATTAAAAAAAAGTAATAAAATGGTGAAATTATTTAATTAGAAAAGCTTTTAATTGCTTTTTTGAATAATATATATTAAAGAAAGTATTGTCTGAAGAAAAATAATTTTTGATAAAAAATGAATTTTTACAAGATTCTTTTCATTTTTTACAATGTATAACTAAATAATTTATGAAGTTATTAAAATTTTTAAAATTCAATTTCAATGTGGCAACTCTTAGTAAATATTGTTATTATGTAAAACTATATTTACTAATAACATAACGTAAAGCTTATTACAATCTGACGAAACCGAATATTTTTAATGAATTTTGAATTGTTTTTGTATGTGTATATAGGTGCAGAATTTCTAAGTACAGATGCTCAAACCTAACATTATCATTAAAAAGTCACGGGTTTTAAGGTTTGTCCCTTCCTTACGGAAAAAAAACCCTCGTATAAACTTTAGCGTCTGCTCCACCATGATGAGGAGATACGGCGGTCAATCGGCTGTCAAATCGATTATCTTTCAGAAAAACAAGACACCGTGATGAAGAAATGCTTCTACACAACATTTTATACTATAAGCAAGTAATATTTGTTTCAAATGAGATTAATTTAACATTAAATTTGCGATTTTTTCTAAAATAACGTTTCAGAAATATATATTTTATTTTTGCAAGATTTTTAAATCCCAGAATTAACTTTTATTTACGGATGTGTCAAAATGGCCGATTTTATCGATTTTACTGAAAAAAAAAATCGATTGCGTTCAATATAATTTCTGTTTAAAATACACCACAGGGTATTTTGTTTACTGGAAATAGTAAATTTTAAATCATTTAGCTGTCAATTGAAGCTAAAATGAAAGCTTCAAGAAATATTTTTTATTTAAAAAAATCATTTTAAACCTTGCGTATACCGAATTAGTAAAGTTACCCCGACACACACACACACGCACGCATTTGCAAGTACTTACTACCAAGTAGAGTTGATTCCGTATTTAATGTCGAATAATTCGTGCAGTTTTAATCTATTATACTCATAGTTATAGATTTTTTTTTTAAATTGGTGCAGTCCATATTATTAAATAATATTGCTCTATGGCAATTTTTTCTTAATTTTACGTTTAATACAAGCACCTTTGAAAATGAAATACTATTGGCCTGAATCTATAAAATTCTACAAGTGAGTGCCACTTCCCGCAATAACCACAGCGAATACAGCTGAACTTGACAAGAAGGTCCAAATGAATAAGAGTTGAGACGTACAAACACTTTACAAGCATTTAAAAGTTCCTAGATCGACAATTTGTAGCTTTATCAAGAAGTACAACAAGACTCATTGTGTTGAGAATAAATTAAGGACTAGCAGAAAACGATTAATTTCTGAGAAAATGGAAAGCACAATTGTTAGAGATATCTCGAAAAATCCTTAACGACAAAGGACATTGTCAATGATGTAAAGACATCAGTGTTGAATGTATCGACGAAGACCGTCACTAGATGCTTTCATCAAGGAAATCTTCCTTGTTTAAGGCTAATCACCTAAAATGCAGATTAGCTTATGCTAGAATCCATCTTGAACGTGGAAGTAAATACTAGAACTCTGTTTTATGTTCATATGAAGCCAAACTAGAATTATTTGGTCACATGAACTTCCGTTATGCATGGAGGAAAGTGAATGAAGCTCTCAAACGAAAAAAATACTCTCCCTAAAATTAAGAACGTTGGTGTGGCATTCTGTTCTGGGGATGTTTTTATTGCTTCTGGGCCAGGGGAACTATTGACAGTACATAGTATCATGGATAAAGAGAATTATTTGGCTATTCTTAGAAATGATATAAAACGATGTGCACGAAATTTGTTTTTGTGGCATCACTGGACGTTTCAACTTGACAATGGCCTGAAGCACATGGCACGGATTGCTAGAAAATACTTAGATGACAGAAAAATTAAGGTATTGGCATACTCTGACTTAAACCCAATTGACAATTTATGGGCATATTTGACGAAAAAAGTAAGACAAAGAAGTCCTTCGAATTTCGAGGAACTAGAAGCTATTGTCAAAGAATAATAGAGAAAAATGCCTATCAGTGTGTGTTGTGATCTTGTAAAGAACTATCAAAATGATTAAAGGCAATAATCAAGAATAAAGGTTACACAATTGATTGTTGAGTCAAGATGGCTAATACTATAGTCTTATGTTAATTTTTTTTGAGTTATTGCATTATTGTTTGATATTAAAATAAAAAAAAATGTTTATCACTACACATTATTTCAAATCCACTATTTCATCATTTCTGATGAAGTTTCCATGAAAATATGAGGTATAACTGCTTTATTTGTAATTATGGAAGCGGAGGTGAATAATTTCATCTACAACTATATATGACATCAGTGAGAGACACTTAACCCTAGGCTATCGACGCACAGCAGAGAAAGGGACTTTTTAACGCACTATATACGTGATATATAAACGCCATACCGGCCGGCATAACCCTCAATTCTTACGAAGAATGATACATTTAAAAGCAGCAGCAGCCATTAAAAATTCCCTTCTCCCTATAGCGCTCAATCGGCGAACTATATATATATATATATTCGGTTGGTGCAAAAATAATGTCGTTTTTGACGTTCAACTTAACGTCAAAAACGACATTATTTTTGCACCAATATATAATATATATATATATATATATATATATATATATATATATATATATATATATATATTGGAAAGATAGAAAAAGAAAGACAGTGTTAACATAAAAATTAACCTTGCAAGTTAACTGCCAGTTTCCCGCTTCAAGTGAACTTCAGACCATGGTCTGAAAATAGCTCTGTCTCCTATGCTAACGACTCTTGTCCGATAATCTAGCAAATTTCAGAACAATATGATTATATCCTGACATTTTCAATCTGATGAAAAGAATGATCAAACTCAACTATAACTTCCAGGTTAATATAATCTATCATAATTCGATCTAAATAATAACAACTCTACAGACACGTACACAAGTATTTTCGCGACTGACCGTTTCATGCCATCAACAATTTTCAAGCAGGAACAATGCAAGAGGAATTCCTCCCTAATTGTAACCTTAACCCTAACCCTTCCAGACGCAAAAATATAGATCTACGTATTTAAAGAGATTTTATTACTGTGATTAAATTTTGGTTATGTATCGTGCAATGTTTTTTTCATTTTATATTGGGCTCGATAAATTTTACATCATTAGCGTTCTTTGACGCATATTTTATATTTAATACATACACACACACATTCACAAACATCCCTCCACACACACACACACACACACACACATATATATATATATATATATATATATATATATATATATATATGCATGTATCCAAACAAACGTAAATAAATAACTAATCCTTTGTTTGTTAATAGCAGACATGTTTTTTTTTTACCTGAGAGATAAGATAATTAAAACTTTTCTGAAAAAAAGAAGCAGTGTTATTAAAAGTTTCGAAAGAAAAGAATTCGCTGTTTATGCTTATAGGAATGTTTATTTTAAGCAAAGAAAACCTGAAGAAAAAAAAAGAGCGTGTCAAAGATCTTAGTTGATGAACTATGGAGACATTTTTTGTTCATGTATTTTCATTGTCAGTTTTATTTGTTCACTCGTTTTGTCTCCTTAGTTATTCAAATTGTTTTCCTTACCAAGCAGACACTGCTTGTATTGTCGAGAGGCTGAGTTGCAAGCATCAACGAAATTATCTCTTGGTTTTGTGCAACAATTCTCTTCGATTGCATTTCGTTATTGTCAATTCTTGTAGCAGAATCGTTATTTCTTACAAACTCACAAAAAATTTCAGCTTTATACCTGATACTCTCTCCCCACCACATCTCTCTCTCTCTCTCTCTCTCTCTATATATATATATATATATATATATATATATATAAGTGAACATTGAAGTCAACACTCAGAGGCGACAGACTGTTTCATGCTAGACGCAATCGTCCAGCATGAAACAGCCTGTCACCCTTTTTATATTTATATTTACATACGCTTTATCTCTGATATTGAGCACTTTATCCCATAAATATGGCACACCTTAAAACTATATTTACTCATATATATATATATATATATATATATATATATATATATATATATATATATATATTTGTATGTATTCTTTATTTTAGGATATTACATCGAAAACATGTCAAAAAATGTGTTGTATGCGCATCGAAACGCGACTAGAATTGTGTAGCGATTTTGACATGCTTTCGATGTAATAGCCTAAAATAAAGAATATTGCTCTACTTTGTATTGAGCCCTCTTTTTAGATTAAATTCGACGAACGTTGAAATTGTGCTGTATTCGTTCTCATCTTACCTGGATATATATATATATATATATATATATATATATATATATATCCATGCATATATGAATTTGTGTGTATGACGATGAAATTCATTCTATTTATTAAGCTATCGATGAGATCAGATTTCTTACTATTAAGAAACGGAAATTGACCTTTTCAACTCAATGTTTTTCACAATCGCTTCTCCTTTTATGATATATATGCAAGAACTATTAATATTAATAAATAATAACAACCAACAGACATATATGAGTGTATACGAACAATATCAAGTATATAAAAACACAAATAATTTCTATAAATTTTAATATCCTGTAGCAATTACTATTAATAAGTACAACATTTGAATAAATGTTCCTCTTATTTTGAACTGTATTATAAATTACAGCGACGAGAGTCTGTTCAGATTGTCGCCTCCTTCAATGACCACATTTATATTTACATACGCTCTATCCTTGATATTGACCAATTTAACTCATATATATTAGGTTGGTGCAAAAATAATGACGTAATAACGTCGTTTTTGACGTATTTTAACGTCGAAAACGACATTATTACGTCATTATTTTTTACAACCAACCTAATATATATATATATATATATATATATATATATATATATATTACAACCTCGGTTCTCGAACGTCTCACATGTCGAACAAATTGGTTTCCGAACAGAAAATTCGAGATGAAAATTCCTCGGTTATCGAACAAAATTTTGGTTCTCGAACAACATTGCCGAACCGAATTAATCCGAACGGAATCATTTCTGAATCGACCGCCGAGTTGTATACATTCGTGTGTTATGTCGTGCTTTTCTTTTCCAATTTTATTGTACTGTGACTTTTTTCTCTACATTGATTCCTATTCGAAAAATATTTTCATTTACGAATATTTCGGGTTACGAACGACCGACAATAATGAATTAAATTCGTGAACCGAGGTTCGAATATATATATATATATATATATATATATATATATATATATATATATATATATATATATATATATATATATATATATATATATATATATATATATATATATATATATATATATATATATATAAATATAAATATTAGTGATAATTTTCCCAGGCTCATATTCCTGCATCATAATTCAATGAACCTTTGGCTAAAAAAAACAATTAACATTTTTTTAAGTATCATTTTAGAAAATTTTACCACTAAATCAAAATGTCTATTTTAACACATGTAACTGTAAATGTTATATGCATATATCACAAGACAAACGCCTAAGTACTTCAGAAATGTTAAAATAGATGACAATTATTGCTTTTGCTTAGTATAAATCGAAATTACAGTTTAACTTTACATGCACTATACAGTGCCTGCATCACTTGCAAATACGTTTTGCAAACTGATTACTTCTTGACATCTTAAGTATGAATGGCGCGTGCATACAGTCGTTTCTCCAATGAATTTAATGCTTTTTTTTTTGTAAGGTTTCAGTTAATTTGCATTACTCAGTTGGATGAAATGAATCTGTATACTCTCTTCACTGTATTTCCTGTTGTAATTATAAGAATGAATGTAAGGACTACAAGAATGGCTCTTGGAATTGACCACGCATTGCTAATGTTTGGAATTTTCTCAATTTTAATAAAAGGGAAATGTACTTTTCTTTCAAAGAATCTAATAATCTATTTTTGTTCACCCTGTACAAGGCCCAGGGGCAACTCAAGGTATAGGGTTATGTTACGGTTTAGTTTATATGGATAGGAGGGGAAGATAACGGTTAAACCTAGACATGAACAGGTTAAAACTGTAGTGGTTCGGTAAACATCTTCTTGGAAGTTTGTTCCAGAGACTAGTGGTTCGCGGGAAGAGGCTGTTCAAGTGGAACTTAATTTTTACCAATGGAATACGGGGGGAATGTGGGTAGTTTGCGACTATGTAAGTGGCATGGCGAGTTCTAGCCATGATGATTAGACCTGGAGGAATCGAGGAATGTAGTTAATACAAACACTTCCATCCAGATTTATCGAGGTGCTCTTCTGTTTCATTAACAAACTCTGCTTCCCGTTCTTCATAATTCTTAACCAGCTGAGACGCAAAGGATATTCTATAGGTAGAGTTTATCACAGTCAACAAGTGGGGTTGTCAGTTAACTGCTGCTCGTCATGATCTATAGAGAGGTAGATTGTAACGAAATTTTACATTGGAAAACTCACAATTAGTCACCAGACAACACTAGTAATTTTCCAAGCGTAGCTGAGATGAGGCACAAGGCCGAAAGTATGGGGCACCCAGTGAGGATCGAGCTCACTATCCAATCGTAAATGTTCTAACGAGACAAGCTTGTTAACCATTACACCGCCTCGAGGTGCCCGTCGCAAACCAACACTATATATAAGAAATAATTTTCATTTTACGCAGATTCATTTTTTTTATTGCATTTAGATATGACCTTCATTTGAAACTGAGAAAATTTTTTTAAAAATTAATTTGTTTTAAGAAAAACTTTCACAATTTATGATATAGGAAATTTTTAGTCTTATGATATATATATATATATTATATATATATATATATATATATATATATATATATATATATATATATATATATATTGGGAGAAAGATGTATAACAGTAGAAAACTCGTTTCGTGTGACGCGTTTCGACCTTTCGGATTTCATCAGACTAAATACACATGCGTACGAACGAAAGATGCCGGGAATTCTAAATTTTAATTTATTTTTCTTTTTTTTTCTGTTTTTGGGTATATAATCTAGTCGATTTCATTTAGATTGTTTTTCTTTTCATCACTTTTGTTATTAGATATCCCGCATTGTAATAATAGAATATCCCCAAAATTGATCTTGATATATAAAAATGTATATATCGTTATCCTATATATATATATATATATATATATATATATACACGGTCGCTAATATCTAGTTATCTCATTTACCTAACCCTATATATATATATATATATATATATATATATATATATATATATATATATATATATATATATATATATATATATATATATATTGAACGTCTAACGATCGGTTTATTAACATGAAAATTTTACTAACGCGTACTTGGTACATTTTTAATATGGTCCAGAAAAACTTATATTTACTCTGCATTAAATAAATCAAAGTTAAACTGCGTTTGGTTAAATTTTATTCCACTTGAATGTTTAACTGTTTATATTAGATTTGAACAGATATGAAAATTTCAATAAAGACTATGACGAGAAGAATTTGCTGACTATAATGTTTTCTTTCTCTGTTCAGGTGAACGCAGGATCGAATGCGCGTATTTTACTTTAATAAGATGTCTAGAATGTTTAGGCCGTTAGATATAAATAAATATACTGTTTATTGGATAAACGGAGCGTCTACTCAGATACGTGTATCAACTAAAAATAACGTTTAAAGTGATAAAATCTGTCGGATTAGTGAATAAAATACATTACTTCTTTAGAAAATTGTGTTTTTTGCGTTTGGATACGAAACTGAGTTTACATAAATCATGGAGGATGCTAAGTGATGCAATTCATTGTCTAATGAACAAAAGTAAGTAAATGATCTTGATGTTGGCATATTTGTTATTTAATTATAATGTAATTAATATAGATATTATATTTGCTATTAATTTACAGGGAGCGATGAGTAAATTGCCGCCATTTTACATTTTAATTTTACACATGCACGTTGCTTGTTTTTGATTTTTTTTTTTTTTGTTTTTTTTTGTCTACACAATATAGTAGTGACAGTTGGACATCGTCTGTGAGAAAAAAGGGCAACATGCTTGGCATTTGCGCTGGAAACTCTAATACGAACATTTCAGAGTGTTTCTGTGTCAATCAGTGCAGAGGATTCAAGAATAATTGGATAATGGTATTTAGAGTTATCTCTAGTGATAGCCACATTATGCCCCCCTTCCATTTTCTTACAGTGCCTCAGACTCAACCACGGAGACCTACATCAAGTGCCTTGAAGTGGTAGTGCTGCCCTGGGTCAAGAAGTTGGCTGCTGCCCCATGCAACACAAGTCGGAAAACCTAGTATTCACCAACCTTAAACAAGGAGACCGTCCAGAAGAGTTGCAGGATATTCCGAAGTGGTCTGGATGCCGTGATTGAAGTCAATGGCGATTTTATTGAATAAATTTACTCTTTAAGATTTAAAGATATTTTTGTGTAATTTT